AAAATTATGTTTGATAAATGTTTTCTTATTTTTCGTTTTTTAATTAAAACTGGTTTTCAGCCAACGTCAACCAAACGAGTTGTTGACCCAAAACTTGAACTAGATTTCCCTACAGCATCTCAAGTCTAGTGCTAAACAGTGTTGCAGAGATACAAATGTTTAATTTGCATACAGTTACAGTTAGAGTCCGAACGCTCTGGCGTTCCACACTTTACGCAGAAAACTCATACTGATTCTGGGAAACAGAAATCTTCAGACATGAGTCATGCCATAAGATCGTCAGTAAATTGACTGGGCAAACTCTTATTACAAGTATAGACGCTGTTGTGGATGTGAGCAACGAAATCTAAGAGCGTATGTGCGCCTAGATGACGATTTGAATCTAGTGACTCATCCAAAAGGCTGCCAACAGGTCTCAGCCCACATAATATAATAATGAAACTTTTATCAGAAGTGGAGGCAACAACGGACTGCAGTTACAGCAGAAAACCGGTTATATTGACATATTCACAGACGTTGATCATCGTTTACCGTTTCCATTTGAACTTTTGGCTYGTGGCCTGCGACACACAATACACAAAGAATTTGAACGTRKTGCTGTTGTCGTTTCAGTTGCATTCAGTTGCATGCCACGCGCTCAGAAGGCCCTGAACTTTATGCTCAACTGCAATCGGACTTTTTGATGTGCGGCGCTAACATCCGACATTTCAGTACGCTACCATGGCCCCTATTTCCTCCACCATCACAATTAAAGCTAATTGCTGTATAGGGATCCCAACTGGGGTTAAGTGCTCGCTTTGTAGTTTCGCTTTTTTTTTATTCATTTATTTTGCATACATATGCTGCCATTTCTATTTATAATTTTACTCTTTTGTTCTTGATTTCGCAATTGATATTCCAATAACTTGTTTTGTTGGGGACTTAAACTCTCTGTTATGCTAGTGATAACAGTACGCTGTTAATATGCTGCTGTTTCTATGAATAATGTTGCTGTTAACTAATTGATATACGTTCGCAGCAAAAAGATCGTTAATCAATTTATATAATGCATATAATACATCCATCTCAAGTAAAAATGCAATGACCACTTGTTAGTTGCTCATTCAAAAACGTTTCAATGGAATTTTCAGTCAGGTGTGTTTCTCCACATCTGATCATTGAGAACGTTTTGGCAAAGTTTGCTTAATCAGCTGCC